CTCTCTTCCTCCAGACTCTGGGACCTTGATTTCCAAAGGAAATGCAAAATTTACTTTCATCAGAGAACATAACTTTGGACCACTCAGCAGCAGTCCCAGGCGAGACGCTTCTGACGCTGTCTATTGTTCAAGAGTGCCTTGACTCAAGGAACAGGAACAGCTGAAACCCATGTCTTGCATATGTCTGTGCGTGGTGGTCCTTGAAGCACTGACTATCTGCAGTCCACTCTTTGTGAATCTCCCCCACATTTTGGAATGGGTTTTGATTCACCATCCTCTCCAGGGTGTGGTTATCACGATTGCTTGTACACTTTTTTCTACCACATCATTTCCTTCCCTTTGCCTCTCTATTAATGTGCTTGGACACAGAGCTCTGTGAACAGCCAGCCTCTTTTATCTATGACCTTTTGTGTCTTGCTGTCCTTGTGCAAGGTGTCAATGGTCGTTTTTTGGACAAATGTCAAGTCAGCAGTCTTCCCCATGATTGTGTAACCTACAGAACTAGACTGAGAGACCATTTAAAGGCCTTTGCAAGTGTTTTGAGTTAATTAGCTGATTAGAGTGTGGCACCAGGTGTTTTCAATATTAAACCTTTTCACAATATTCTAATTTTCTGAGATACTGAATTTGGGGTTTTCATTAGTTGTCAGTTATAATCATCAGCATTAAAATAAATAAACATTTGAAATATATTGGTCAGTGTGTAATGAATGAATATAATATACACGTTTCACTTTTTGAATGGAATTACTGAAATAAATCCATTTTTTCATGATATTTTTATGTCAAGCATCTGTATGTACGGAGAAGGCAGAGTGGAGAGTAGGAACCGGTGAGCTGATTGAGAATAAGAAGCAGGTGGTTAAACAGGGAGGAGGAAAAATGGAGAAATGGAAACATAAAGATGGAGAATTACAAGAGCAAAACAAGAAACATGGCTGAACTGAATAAAAAATAAACGTACAAAACCAGAATGATCAAAATTCACAAATGAATAACGACGCTCAGACCACATCTCTTCTTTAACCATACACTACATTTGTCATCTTAATTTTCTCAATTTTTTTTTCCCAAATCAGTTCCTCTGTGTGTTTCAATTATTATAAAATAGAGTAATAAACTTGTTAAAAACCATAAACGTTCTTTAAAGTGTGATCTGCTGCTGAGAAATAACTGCTTTTTTCAGCCACGACTAAAACACTCACCCCATTTCCAAAGGCTATGACACTAATTTACACGCATGTTTTGCAAATCAACCCAATTTGTAAATTTCCCTGCAGGGTTGTACTGTGTTGAATCAGAAGCGTGGTGGTGGAACGATCGAAATTCATTTCTCTGCTCATTTTTCTTCTGCTCAGGCTTGCCCCCAGCAGACCCATGGCTCTGATCTTCTGCGGTTCAGTCAGCCGTGGCATTGTGCAGTCAGGTCACAGAATGTGTTCGTGGTCGTTTGATAGCTGTGGACTAAAACAAATCAGGGGAGTGGCCAAAGGGTCTGCTGGTGTTCAGGAAGAGGGTCCACGTGACACACTCTTTGTTGAGCAACAAGGACCAAGAACAGTCTTTATATCGTCTTGCTAAAAGAGAGCTTATTTTAAAATATATTAATTGTGCGAGTGTTTATGAAGCTTTCACACAATTGTGATCCATTTTTCTTATGTACATTTTTCGACACAATTCTCGTCCCTCAGCTTTCAAGTTATTTCTACAAGTCATATCAAAATGTTCAGCTCTTTCAAGGCAATCCTGCTATGACTTTTGGTATTGGTGCAACTTTAGCTTCTTGAACTATTTAGCCTTTTCTGCCATTTTTTTCCTCATTGAAGCTGAATTGAGCTCATTTTACATCCTTTAGATCTTTAGATCAATTTGTAACATTTTACTGCTCCTTTCACATGTTCAGCTTCTTTCAGCTTCCTTGTGCAAATTTAAACTTTTTTTCAGCTACTTTCAGCTAATTTCATTTATTTTTTTCAGCTGTTTTGTGCTGCTTACAGGTTCTTTCTTCTAATGAGAACATTTTTGGGCTTCTTCTAACTTCTTTCTGCTAATTTCAGCTTATTTCTGCAAGTTTCAACATATTCTGCTATTTCAGCTACTATTTAGCTGTGATCATTTTAGCTAATTCTATATTTTTTGCACTCATTTCAATTTTTTTCTTCCCAATTCAGCAAAATTGTGCTCTCTTTACTTCCTTCTGATAATTTAAACTTATTTCTGTGTTTTAACTACTTTTCGACTTTATGCTAACGTCAGCTTTTTTATATAATTTCCACTTTTTGGAACCAATTTCTGCTTCTTTCAACAAACAAATGTTCTTTCTGCTGCTTTCCTCTGCTAATTTAAGCTTGTTCTATCTGTTTAGCTACTTTTTTTTTTTAGCATTTTTAGCCAAATTTGGCTGTTATCAGATAAATTCTAGTTTTTCATGGTAATTTCTGCTACATTCAGCCCAATTAACTTATTTATGCTAATATCAGCTTTTTATGCTCCTTTCAGCTTTTTCTGCAAGTTTCAGCCATGTCTGCTATTTCAACTAACATTTAGCTGTTTTCATGCTAATTTTAGTTTTTCAGCCAATTCCACAATTTGTTTTACCTCATTTCAGCTCTTTTCATTCATTTCTGGTACTTTAAGCTTCTTTGTACCTTTCAGCTACTTTTCAGCTCTGTGCTAATTTTAGCCTTTTTAGCTACTTTCCTAATTTTTGTGATAATTTTTGCTTATTCAAACCCATTTCAGCAGATATGTGTTCTTTCTGCTTTCTTCTGCTAATTTAGGCTTGTTCTTCTATTTCCACAACATTTCAGCATGGTTTTTTGTTGTTGTTAATTTCAACTGTTTTTATGGAATTTCTTCTGCCATAAGCACTCACACTGCATTGTCACAGGAAATGCAATTTCTGTAGTTTGTATTTGAATCAGTAAATGGAGTGGTCTGTATTTTTAGACATTACTGAGACTTGTGTGCATAAAACCTCTGACACAAACCTTTCTTTTGCTTCTGAGCTTTGAATTTAAACGTGTAGGATGCCTTCCATCAATGAGCCACAAACCATTGAACATCCTGCGTGACTCCTCTAAAGATTCCCATTGAAGCATTGAAATAAGTTTCATCTTGTCCCTTTGATTTAAAACGAGACTTCATTTTTAAGGGTTTAGTGATGAATACGATCCAGATTGTGTTGGACTATGTTACATAAGCAAAGCTCATAAAAGTGTGCCACTACAACAGCAATGAAGCACCCTGATTATTATTCAACCATCATTCTTCCTTTCTGGCACAACTTGTGATTTGCATCTTGTCTTGCAGCTTTGTAAAAAAGAAAAAAGAAAAAGGAGTGACTCCATTGGAATAGTGAACTGACTGTTGATGCAGAATGAAAAAAAAAAGAAATTGCAAATGTCCTTATAGACAACAATGAGCTTTTGCCAAGTGAGAAGTCCCAGGTGTGTTTTCAGCTCTGATTCATGATTCAAAGTTTAAACGAGACGCAGAAAGTTGGACTGCATGTATCTGGAGATCTTCAGCATTTTTTAAACAATTGTAATTTAAGTTTCATGATTTTTGAAGATTTGCCCAGAATGTTCTACTTAAGAGTGTGATGATGTCATTTTTTGTGCTGTCTAAACTTTTTAAATGGTAAATGGACTGTACTTTATATATATATATATATATA